AGATTGGAAAGAAGTTTGCGTTTTGGGGCTGAGATTGCTGAGACATGATGGAATGTGTGGCCTGCCTGATACCTGGTATAAGTCTTTACGTCACACAATTTTTTTGTTTTGTTTTTTAGAGACAGGCACTAGGTAGCCCAGGCTGGTCTCAAACTCGCAGAGATCCTCCTGCCTCAGCTTCCTGAGTGCTGGGACTACAGGCGTGCACTGCCACACCCAGCTTGTGTCACAGTCTTTTTACATGCAGGGTATATTTATTTAATCACAATGACAGCCCGAGTGTCACTGTTCCATTCTAGACTCCGAGGTATGGAGAGGTGAGCAATTTGATCACATGGTAATGAGTGTGCCCAGCAACCTCAATTTCCTCCGAGGTATGGAGAGGTGAGCAATTTGATCACATGGTAATGAGTGTGCCCAGCAACCTCAATTTCCTTTACTCAATAAATTGTAACGAAGGAGGGAAGTCTTGTTGAGCAGTGACCCTGGTCTCTTCCATCTGTCTCTCACTGCTCAGGGAGAGGTTTTAACCAGAGAAGGGAGATCTCCTTGGATACTGGGGTTTGAGCTCTGTGCCGCTAACTTCAGATCCTGGGACATGGGCATGAAGCCTGAGGGCCAGAGGGTATCAAAACAGACTCCACCTCCCCTGAGATCTGGTTTCAGGCAGAAAGGTGAGAAGGCTGCTTGTGTACAGCTCTTCATAGTCCAGGGATGAACGCCGTGTCCAGGTGGTGGTTACACAATTACGCCCTGACAGCCACCATTCTTCTTGCTTCTGTGGACTTATTCAGGACATTGCATACAAAATGTGTCCTTTTATGTCAGGCTGATATCTCTTAGCATTTTTTCATTATTTCTGAGATTCACCCATGGGTTTGCACATACTGGTACCGCATTCCTTTTTATGATGGAATGATACTCCATTGAATGCACAATCTGTACCACAATGTGTCCATTCCTCTATCGATGGACATGGTTTATTTCTACCTTCTGGCTCTTGTGATAGTGCTGCTGTGAACACAATGCTTTTGACTCAACAGTTCCTTACTAAGAACTCATCCTACCAGTATGTGCTCACAAAAAACTGGAAAGCAAAACATTGAAAATAATCTAAATGTCCATCCCTGGGGCCTAATTATATAAAGTCCACGCATTTGCAGTGAGACTAACAAAGAGCAAGACAGCTTATAAAGGATTCACATCAGAGGGCTGCCAGGGATGTAGCTCAGTGGTGCTGCACCTGCCTGGTAAGTTCAAGGTCCTGAGTTCAATCCCCAGTACCAAAACCAAAACAAAACAAAACAAAAAAACCCACACTCAGAGGGGTCTTATATGAAACATCTAGATGCAAAATATAGCCTAAATTATTAGGTGTATAATGTGCAAGAAGAAATTTTACACACAAACATATGTATGATTTTTTTGGCTTGAATTTGCACAGAATGCTCTTACATCTCTGGAAGGAGCCCTAAGGTGTCTCTAGTAAGAGAAACTGGCTAGCTAGGGAATGGGTGACAGGAAAGACTTACTGCTAAATTATACTTTTATACCTCTTGAATTTTGAGTCATGTGAAAATATCAAGTTAAAAAATTAAACCCAAGACAGGCATGATGGCGTACATATGTAATTCAGCACCCAGGAGGCTGAGGTAGAGGATCATTGAGTTTGAGATCAGCCTGGACTACATAGCTAGATCCTGTCTAAAAGCAAAATGAAACACCTTTGTTAGAGAACACGTGTAGCTAAATCAAAGCCATTTTTGTTGTAAATTTAAAACTATAGAAAAGCTTTTTCCTTTTTCTTGGCCTGATTGTCCCTGTCCTTCATCCCTGCCCCCCAAACCCCATCAACTAATGGAGTTAGCCAGTGAGAAGCTTCTGGCCAGAAGGCAGCAGGCTTGGGTTCACTGCAGCATTTGGGAGAAGGGTGTGGCTGCAGGGAGAAGGGTGTTGCTGGGGTGTGAGGGGTTATATGGCTCCTGAAAGGGCTCAGTTTAAGAATAAAGGTTAAGGAAAAAAAAATCTGGGCCTGGAGTCTCATGCCTGTAATTCTAGCACTTGGGAGGCTGAGGCAGGAGAATTGCCACGAGTTTGAGGCCAGCTTGAGCTACCTAGTGAATTCAAGTTCAGCCTGAACTTATTTAGAGACCCTGTCTCTAAATAAATAATAGAAATAAAGAAAAATCCACTCCCAGAGAATCTCAGCTGCAATTTCAAGTACTAGAGAGAGAAGCACTTGGAAGTTTCTGGAAAGAGAAAAGACAAATATAGGCCAATCTAAAGACAGGGCAACTGAGTGTGGTGACACATAGCTGTAATCAGCACTCTGGGAGGCTAAGGAAGGGAGATTGCAAGTTCAAGTCCATCTTGGGCAATTTAATGAATAAAAAGTTTTAAAAAAATGACAACAAAACAAAAAAACAGGAGAGCTGGGGACATAGTTCAGTGCAAAAGTCCTGGGTTCAGAAATTGCCAGTATTGGAGCAGGGAGGGGGGATAAAAAGAGGAAAGAGGGTGCTGGATTTTAGCCTACAGCTCCTGTGAAAACGTCTCAGACAGGACTTAAACTGTGTCGAGGTGAGTCCAAGACAAGTGGGTTGGAAAGATAGCATTTAATTTGTTTTTTCCATTTTAGATTTTTAAAAAAGCCTCTGAGCCATCAACCAGTGGTGATGCAGTGACCCCACATACTGAACTGTGCCTGCCTCACTTTGGGCCCCTGGTCTCTTTCTGTCCTAGTGACTGATCTCAGCTCAGGTATCCTTTGGGAGAGTTTTTGACTGTCCTGCCACATGGCTGTCCCACCACCAGTGGATAGTCAAGGACTATCTACTGAGATTTCCACCATACCACAGGGGGCTCAGTGGGCAGGTCCTGGCTTTTCTCCCCCAAGTACTGTGCTGTGCCCAGTGTGGGCCTGGCACATACAACAGGCCCAGTAAGTTAGACCCCCAGAGTATCCTGGAAATGAATCATTGTTTTTTTTAAATTTATTTTTTTTGGACCTGGGATCGAACTCGGGTCCTTGTGCTTGCCAGGCAGGTGCCGGAACCACTGAGCCAAATCCTCGGCCCGGAACTGAATCATTGATGGAGGGGCACTGGGCACACATTCTACCCAAAGAACCTTCCTCTTTGGGGGAGAAGAACCTCCAGTGGGGCAGTGCTGGCTGCTTGGAGGAAGTGGGACCTGTTGAACATGGGCCTGGGCTCAGAATTGCAGAAAGAGGGAGGGATTCCTCCTCCTCTAGCCACTCGAGGGGACATAGGCTGTCTGGGCTGTTGGGCCTTTGGGACTTCAGTAGGCTTCCTGGAGAAGGAAGGGGAAGAGAAATCTGGTGGTGGTTGTGGGGAGGATTTAGTCATCTATACTGTCATAACGGGAAGAGTGAACATCGCACCCCGGGCATCGGAGACTTCCCCTCTGTGGGCCTGAGTCCTAGGTTATGAGAGTGAAACAGCAGTCTTGCACCACAGGTTGGATTTAAGGGACAGATCAGTGACCATGTTCTCTGTTCACACGCAGATGTGAAGGGGGCCACTGCTGCTGGCCTCATGGTGACAGCTAGCCAGGGGTTAAGAGAATGTAACATCTACCCTCAGCCCAGATGGAAATCTTTGACTCCTCAGTCCCAAGTCTAAAATCTGACCAGCTAAAACCTTTGGGAGACCACTGAGTCTCCTTTAAGTCTCCATAGGTTCTTGTCCATCAGTCACTCACACTCTAGTGAAGATCGTGCTGTCTGTCCAGGGAAGACATCTTGGTTGGTGGTACAGAACTTTGGGAGATAAGTACAGCTGGGGTCACAGCCCATCTCACTCAGGATGGGGAGGTCAGGATGACCATTAAGCCCCATCCAGGGAGGTTTGGGTGGGTGAGGAGAGAGCACAGGGCCTCAGCGTGCCAGTCGGACACCTAAGACGCACCTCGTCCCCATCTTCCCCGGGTGTGAGATGGTACAGCAGCAGGAGGAGGCCCTGCCAGCACACACACACCGTCCCGCATACAGGGACAGGACCGGACACTTTCTGCCTCTCTGAGGTTACTGCCCCACAGACGCGGGTGAACATATCCTGCTCAGTGTTGCTGTGCGATGCTGGCTGGCGACTTTGCCTCTCTAGGCCTGTTTTCTCGCGTTTCAAGTGGGTTGATAACGGCAGTCTTCTGCTGTTGTTAGGGAGCCTTACAGCACAGGCCGCCCACAGACCCGGCCCCGCCCCGGCCCGCTTCCTCCTACGCGGCCGCGGGCAGAGGTGTCT